GGGTATATTCCAAGGAGTGGGATGGCTGGGTCCTGTGGTAGTGCTATATTCAGGTTTCTGAGGACTCTCCAGACTGTCTTCCATAGTGGCTTTTCCAGTTTGCATTCCCACCAACAGTGGATTCGTGTCCCTTTTCCCCACATCCTCACCAGCATCTGTTGTTAGTTGATCTCTGTATGTAAGCCAATCTAAGCGGAGTGAGGTGAAACCTCATTGTGGTTTTGATCTGCATTTCCCTGATGGCTAGGGATCCTGAGCATTTTTTCATGTGTCTGTTGGCCATTTGGATTTCCTCTTTTGAAAAATGTCTGTTAAGGTCCTTGGCCCATTTTTTTATTGGGTTGTTTGTTTTGATTCTGTGGTGTTTTTTGATCATTGTGTTCTAGTTGTTAATCCTTTATCTGTTGTGTAGTTTGCGAATAACATCTCCCATTCTGTTGGTTGCCTCTTCACTTTCCTGACTGTTTCCTTTGCTGTAAAGAAACTCTTCAATTTGAGGTAATCCCATTTGTTTATTTTATCTTTGATTACTCGTGCCTCTGGGGTCTTCTCCAGGAATTCTTTGCCTGTTCCAATATCTTGAAGGGTTTCCCCTATGCTCTCAATTAGTTTCATGGTGTCATGGTGCATCTCTAGTTCTTTGATCCATGTTGAGTGGATTTTTGTATAAGGTGTAAGGTAGGGGTCTTGCTTCATACTGTGACATGTGGACTTCCAGTTTTCCCAGCACCCTTTGTTGAAGAGGCTGTCCTTGTTCCAGGGGTTGGTTTTAGGTCCTTTGTCGAATATGCTGTGGCCAGGGAGTGCAGTGGAGGATGGCCCAAGTGCTTGGGCCCTGCACCCCATGGGAGACCAGGAGAAGCACCTGGCTCCTGCCTTCAGATCAGTGAGTGCGCCGGCCACAGTGCGTCGACTGCGGCAGCCATTGGAGGGTGAACCAATGGCAAAGGAAGACCTTTCTCTCTGTCTCTCTCTCTCTCACTGTCCACTCTGCCTGTCTAAGAAAAAAGCTCTGTTTTAATTTACATATGGATAAATGAGTTATTGATGTAGATATTCCAGAAGTTATATAATTTATAGAGATCTGGTATTTCTGGTAGGATGTTATCACTAATGATTGCTTACTTATTTTTTAAAGAGGGAACTTGGCAGGGGGTGGGGAGTGGCATTGTGGTGTAGTGGGTAAAGCCACCATCTGTAACACCAGCATCCCACATGGACACAGTTTCAGGTTCATTTCCTGCTGTGCCACTTCTGATCCAGCTTCCTGCTAATGGTGTAGGAAAAGCAGCAGAAGATGGACCAAATGTTTGAGCCCCTGCTACCAACATGGGAGATAGATGAAGCTCTGGCTCCTGGCTTTGGCCTGGCCTGATCTTGGCTAGTATGGTCAACTGGGGAGTGAGCTAGCAGATGGATGATCTCTCTTTCTCTGTCTCTCCCTTTCTCTGTTAACACTTTCAAATAAATATATGAATCTTTTTTAAAAGTGGGGTGGCTCAGGAAAATGCAAATCAAACCACAATGAGATTCCACCTCACTCCTGTTTGAATGGCTCTCTTTTTTTTAAAGATTTATTTATTTATTTGAAAGTCAGAGTTACACAGAGAGAGAAGGAGAGGCAGAGAGAGAGAGAGAGAGAGAGAGAGATGTCTTCCATCCTCTGGTTCATTCCCCAATTGGTCACAATGGCGAGAGCTGCGCCCATCCAAAGCCAGGAGCCAGGAATTTCCTGTAGGTCTTCCCACTGTGGCACAGTGCCGGCCCCCTGGCTTTGTTTTTGCTGTTTAAGATTGCTTTAGCTATTTGGGAGTCTCTTCTTGTGTTTTCCATATGAATTTTAGCATAATTTTTTCTAGATCTGAGAAGAATGTCATTGGCATTTTGATTGGGATTGCATGGAATTTGTAAATAGTTTTGGGTTGTATGGACATTTTGATGATTGCTAAGTAGTAGTATCACTAATTTCCACAAAGAGGTAATGTTATAGAAAACTTTAATTTTCTTCTTCATATAATGATTTAGCAAGAATTGGCTTCATTTTTGAAATATTGGATAAGTAGATCTGAATGATTTTCCACGTACTTGTGTGTGAAAAGGAGGTTGAATGTTACATGTATGTGATACATTTAGGACTGGTTTCTCCTCAGACTACTATCCCAGAGAGAATCCAAGGCATACACACTCCAACAAATTTTCTTGCAATTCCTAAACTAATCTCAGTCTTACTAATCCAGTTTGTCCATAGACACAGCTCACACATGGGGATCAAAACTTAGAGGACAAAAAAGTCGTTCATAATGAGCATGACAAGTATAACATAGGAATAAATACCTTTGAGATTAATTAGCCCAAAAGTTCTCTTTTCAATGATTCTGTTTAAGAGATCTAGCTTGATGCAAATGGAGAAGCTTTTGCAAACGTGCTACTTATAGGAGGCTTTCTGTTTCCTAATGAAAAGAACAAGGAAAATTGTCTGCATTTCAATGAAAGATGTCACTAGAAATGACCATAGAACACGCATGCCATTATCAGTATTACGCAGCATACACTGTATAGGAGAGGCCGCAGAATAGAGCTCCCAGACAATGCAGGGCCAGATGCTGCAAGGAACATGCAAGTGATTCTGAGCAACTTGTTCTCTCTCAGTGTCCATTCTGTACAGTGAGAAACAGGCAATAATCAGTACTGTCTAAGAAGGTCATTGTGCACAGTAACTGAAATAAGAAAACGAAACACTAAGCACAGCACTTAGCTCATGTCAAATGTTCCATAAGTCATAGCTAATCATTTCCATAACTGCATTTGATAACATACAACACCCTTTCATGATGCAAACTCTAAGCAAATTGGGTACAGAAGGAACATTCCTCAACACAATCAAATCAATTTATGAAAAACCCACGGCCAGCATCCTATTGAATGGGGAAAAGTTGGAAACATTTCCACTGAGATCTGGCACCAGACAGGGATGCCCACTCTCACCATTGCTATTTAATATAGTACTGGAAGTTTTAGCCAGAGCCATTACGCAAGATAAAGAAATGAAAGGGTACAAAATGGGAAGGAAGAATTAAAACTATCCCTCTTTGATATGATTATTTATTTAGGGGATCCAAAGAACTACACTAAGAGACGATTGGAACTCATAGAAGAGTTGAGCAAAGTAGCAGAATTCAAAATCAATGCTCAAAAATCAACAGCCTTTGTATACACAGGTAATGCCATGGCTGAGAAAGAACTTCTACGATCAATCCCATCAATAGCTACAAAAAATACCTTGGAATAAACTTAACCAAGGATGTCAAAGATCTCTACGATGAGAATTTAAAAACCTTAAAAGAGAAATAGAAGAGGATACCAAAAAGTAGAAAAATATTCCATGTCATGGATTGGAAGAATCAATATCATCAAAATGTCCATTCTCCCAAAAGCAATTTACAGATTCAATGTGATACCAACTAAGATACCAAAGACATTCTTCTCAGATCTGGAAAAAAGTGATACTGAAATTCATATGGAGGCACAGGAGATCTCAAATAGCTAAAGCAATCTTGTACAACAAAAACAAAGCTGGAGGCATGACAATACCAGATTTAAAAACATACTACAGGACAGTTATAATCAAAACAGCCTGGTACTGGTAAGAAACAGATGCACCCTCCATAGTGGCTCTACTTTGCACCATATCTTCATGTCATCTTGTCTGTTCCCCGCTTTGTTGTAAGTTTTGATGTTTCCTGTTCGAGCCAATTCTAGTTGTTTTCATAATCCATCTTCTTGGGCTGGTGCCGTGGCTCACCTGCGGTGCCAGCACCCTGGGTTCTAGTCCCGGTTGGGGCGCTGGATTCTGACCCAGTTGCTCCTCTTCCAGTCCAGCTCTCTGCTGTGGCCTGGGAAGGCAGTGGAGGATGGCCCAAGTGCTTGGGCCTTGCACCCACGTGGGAGACCAGGAGCAAGCATTTGTCTCCTGGCTTCGGATTGGCACAGCATGCCTGCCATAGCAACCATTTGGGGGGTGAACCAACAGAAAAAAGGAAGACCTTTCTCTCTCTCTCTCTCTTTCTCTCTCACTGTCTAACTCTGCCTGTCCAAAAAAAGAAAGAAATAATCCATCTTCTTTAGATTCATCTTATTGTTGCTCTTCAGACTTTCCTCATATCACTGATTACCCTGATGTCTTCCTTGCTTGTGTTTCCATTTTCTTTCACTTCGTCAGTGCCTGTGATCTTAGACAAGGACAGAGGATGCACTGTAGTCACCTAAGTGAACCAAATAGCCCATATCCCCAGCACTTGTGTGCTTAGCTTCTGCAGAGATATCAGTGATATCCATGAGGGAAGAGTAAATTATACGGCCTCTTAGGATCTGATCACCATGGGAAAAGTAGAGCAAGATAAGAGGACAGAATTATATTTGGAAGAAGTAGGAATATTCACTTTAAATAGGTTAGTCCGTGTTGTTCTGAGAGATGGCTATGGAGCACAGACTTGAAGGGAGTGACAGTGTGGACGTGTTCAGAGGAGAAGCATCAGGATAAGGTCAGCAAGTCAGGGATCCTAAGCCAGGAGCTTGATGAATGTGTTCGAGAAAAATGAAAAGACCAGTGTGGTTGTAGCAGAAGGAAGGGTGAGGGGAGGCGAGTTCAGAGCAGTTACAGGTAGCTGGATAATGTGCTATGTTTCTAGTCCTAGAAATGTCTCTAGTTTGACCCAGAGTGAGATGAGTAAGTATGGTGGATGAAGTAACCTGAATTTTAGTTTTCACAGATATCCTTGTTACTTTTTTAAAACACAAAGTTCATTACAATTGCAATTAAAATGATCTTCAGGATAAATTTCCAACCTCATAAATCGATGAAACTTTCTCATCATCTCCTGATACTGTCTTTCCCAAGACATCCAAGTAAAAAAAATCAGTCTACAATATGAGACTTCATAATTATTTACTAAGGTGTATTGCCAGCCATAATTGAAAGAAATGACAGAATTATAGGTGGAAATTGTTAAGGAATAGCTTGGGAGGGTATTGGAACGTGAGCTTCATTTTAAAGCTCATCCATACACCAGATTAGTCTCTGCTGAGAAAGGAGCCTCCCTCATCAAGGTGGACTGAAGGTGGGGATCATTATCTAAACAAAGAATTTCCCACGGGACAGGGAGAAGGCCTGTCTGTGAGTGAGAATTTATGCAGATGCCAGACAGAGTTAGATTGCAACACCACCAGAAAGAGGGGAGGGGATAAGTGTAGCTTTTTAAGTAGAGGAATCTAATAATGCAACCAGTTTTTAGACAGTCACCTAGCAGATGGGTCTGATTTATTGAGGAAAGTGAAAATACTTCTTCTAAAACTCAAAGCCTTCTCCCTAACTTAAGAGGCATGTTCTTGTTATGTCTTCCCTAAAATCATGAGTTGTGACCAAAGAAGGCTTCTGCTATTTTTCTGGATGTTCTGTGCCTGACATCAGGATGAAAAAGATGAGGAAGAGTCCTGTGTGCTCTTCTGTGTTTTGCTCATTGAGTTTTAGTCCCTGGCCCCTCTAATGATATTTACCTTCAAATGGGTAATATTAGCACGAGATAGCTATGACAAACTGAACGAATAATTGTAAAGTCTGATGTATACATAAATGCAATGTTTTGTTCACTAGGTAACAGGACCAGTCCTCTCCGCTGCAGTAACTATGACAACCTAGATTCTGTCAGTTCTGTTTTGGTTCAGAGTCCTGAGAATAAGATTTAGTTACAAGGTATGTTGGTAACATTTAACTAACAGTCTACAAGCATGGTTGGAAAATTCTCTTATTGGGACTTCTTTAAAATCAGCCGTGTGTACAGTGGCAGGTGGTTCAAACCCTTGTAAAATGTTATTTCATAATTTTTCAGCCATATAAACCATCTAGACCAGATGATGAAGATGTCAAAATTCACTTTTCTTTTCAAATTAGGTACTATATATCAGTGTTGGGCACCAAACAATATGTTGTGCCCAGATCGTTAGATCCCTGCAGAGACCCCCAGAGAGTCGATCACACCGAACTGCAAAAGCAAGGTTTATTCGGGAGTACAAGCCGTGACAGGGACCCCATCCAACCAACCAGCACAGTGGAGGTAGGAGTGAGGCCCCGGTCTTTGGGAGAGTTTTTAAAGGAAAAAGGGCTACCTCAGCAGGAAAGAAGAGTTACATACAGCATGGAAGCTCTGGGTACAGGGAGTTACTTTGTTTAGCAATCTCTACTGTGCTGTCCTTGGTCTACCGAGCTAGCTGTCCCTGGTAAGCTTTGATATCTCCAGAGTGCCTGAATGCCTGCTTTTACAAGGACTCGGGTCTGCTATGGGAAAGGGAGGCTGCTTGCTTTTAAAATGGAGTCACTTCGGTTCTTCAGCAATGGAAAGTTTTTCTGGGTAATGTTTTTCTTGTAAGCAATAATTTTTGTCTCCATAAATAGTAGAGGCCTACTGGGCTCTCCTTTCCCTTGTAAATGATAGTAAAAGTTGTAACCATGTTTATTGGTAATGTAAATGATCTGTTGGATTTCAAATTTAAACTAATATGGAAGCAAGACTGCATTCTTCTGATTAATAGAAATATACTTGAGAACATATCAACAAAATACTTGAATTCACATTATTTTCATTTTGAAAGATCAAATTTGTGCTAGTGTTAATGATTTGCAATTTTCTATTGAATGCTGATAGATAATTCAATAGAGAATGTTTTATTCATATTAACTTTTATAAATATGTACTATCACCAGAGTGGTTATAAATATGCATACTTGCTCATTCTTATGGTTGAGGAAGAGTTTTGGATACACAGGTTGAAATATGCTCGTTGAACAAGTTCAGAAGTCTTGGTGATGACTTGTGTATATATTAAGTTGACTGATCAAAGAGGTGATTTTGAGTTGTTATTCTCTAGTATTTTTGGAAGTATATACATTAGAGCTCCATTTACATTATTCAGCTTTACATGCAAATGCTTAAAACTTTATGAAACTTCATTCCTCAACTTTCCGTATGCATTTGAGATACAGGAAGACTGAGAGAAACAGGCAGATGGAGGGAGTGCTTCTGTCCTCTGGTTTACTCCCCTAAATGGCCTACAGTGGTCTGGGCTGGACTACGGCTTTCCAGGAGCTGAGAACCCTCTGCTGCTCCCAGAATGGCTTTCAAGGATTCAGTTACCTAAGCCATCATCACTGTTCCCAGGGGCTGCATTGGCAGAAAGCTGGAATGGGAGCTGGAGGCAGGCATTGAACCCAGGCACCCTGATGTGGAAAATGAGCATCGTAACTGGTGGATTCACTGCTGGCCAAATACTCTTCTCTCTTCAACATTTCAGTCTTAACAAACGTAACAGCATTCATTTGTATAAATTACCAGAAGGGCTGGCCTAAGCTGCTGCTTGCAAAGCCAGTGTCTCATGCTGGAGCTCTGAGTCAAGTCCTGGTTGTTTCACTTTTGATCCAGATTCCTGTTAATGTGCCTGAGAAGGTGATGGAAGATGACCCAAGAGCTTGGGCACTTGGATGCATATGACAGACCAGTAAGGAGCTCCTGGCTCTTGGTTTTGACCTAGTCCAGAACTGGCTGTTGTGGCCATTTGGGGAGTGAACCAATTAATGGATAATCAGAGTCTCTGCATCTGTCCCTCTCTATCACTCTGCCTTTCAATACATAAATATAAATACTTAAATGAACATTTCAATTATCTTAAAATTACCATAAATACTAACTACCTGTGATTTATTTTTGTATAAAAACATGTATAAAGTACTTAATATTTCAAGACTTTGAATGTTATACAACTTATCAATATTTTACATTTAAACTTACTGAGATATTTTCTCTAAGTAGAAATTCAATCTTTCAATAATTACTTGTAATATCTATGTATTACTGTTTCTTCCTTTTTAATGTATGGATTAACTTTCTTTGAAATATTGATTTCAATCAAAAAAATAAAAATGTCCAATTTTCTATTTTAAAAATTGCTTTATCACAAAGATTACTTATTGAAACATTTCTTTTATTCTCAGAATCAGTGCTTATTTTCAGAATAGTATATCATAAAAACAAACTTTAGCCTCCCATCTTGAAAAAAAAGTAATGTAGGGAATAAATCTTCCCTGTTGTGTAATTAGTATTTCTTCTCTTCAATTGATGTGACTTAGAGATGCATATCTGCATCTTTCACTTTTTTTCTGCTTTCCAGGCTTGAATTTTCAATTGTCTAGTGCAATTTATTTTACATCCCTGCAAACCTTACCAAAGATAATCTCGGGAAATCAATTTTAAATCCTCAACATTCTGTATATTGTTCTTTTTGATTGTACTTCAAGTCCAAGCATACTGTCAATTCACCTTCTAGAACTCAGCATTAGCTGTAGCCTTTCACTTCACACGACAGTGTACAGTATTCACCAGTGTGATCAGTATAACCTTGTGCATCTTTCTGAATGGCATTAAAGCTCCATCTCACTGTGAGTAGCAACTGAAAAACCAGTGTCACTGAACAAGAGTTTATTAAGGTTACTGCTGTAGGTCTTTGTGTCTTCATGCTTAGCTAGCTAATTTTAAGTTGGTTTAATGAATGGGCGGATATAGATACAGCTGATAGGGACATAGACAGGAGGAAAACAGTCTGTGTTTCTACTGTGTTTTATTTCTAACCATACAGTGTTCGGTTCAATTTTGAATCTTCCCACTTCATTGAGAACAATATGAGAAAATGACAGTTTTTTTCAGTAAAGACCTTCTTTCAAACCTCAAACCTTATAATAGAAGAAGCATAGCTCCTGTAGTGGAATTTTATTAGAACCAAGCAAAGAAAGTGTCAGTAATCATTAAAGTCAGATACATTAAGCACAAAATCAGAATAAAAACCCATAACTTAACTATCTACATAATATAACATTATGAAGATGGAATCTGAAAGTATGCAAATAACATTAATTTTGATGAAAGTTAAATGAAATTAATGTCTTCCAGCAATAAGCTGGGTTTATCAGTTTCTTTAACCTTGAAATCTGACTTTGCCAGTAAAATTACAGAACAGATATTTTTCAAAAAATAAAGAGCCTATGAGCCCATATATAGTATAGCAATTAAGATGCCCCTTTAGATGCTTATGTCACATATCAGAGTGCCTGGGTTCCAGTCTCAGCTCTACTTACAGAAATTGAAAGAATTTGTCACCACCCATATAGCCCTGCAGAAGATGCTTATGGATGTTCTGCACACAGAAACACACAGAAGAAGGTAAAGGAAGGACATCTCCCAGTAAAAGTACAAAGTAAACATAAAGTCAACAATAGGAATATTTATGGAAAAATGGCAGGGCAAGGTTGTTATTTATCAATAGTCAACTTGAATGTAAATGGCCTCAACTTTCCAGTGAAAAGGCACAGACAGGCTGAATGGATTAAAAAACAATACCCATTGATTTGCTGCCTACAGGAAACATATCTCACTAACAAAGATGCAGGAAGACTGAAAGTGAAAAGCTGGAAAAAGATATTCCATGCTAACAGAAACCAAAAAAGAGCTGGTATAGCCATCCCAACATCAGACAAAATATACACTACACAAAAAACTGTTAAAAGAAACAAAGTAGGACCTATGTTAATTAAGAGATCAACTCAACAGGAAGATGTTACTATGTTAAATGTATACATCTAATTACAGGACACCTGGATATTTAAAAGAATGTTAAGGGTATCTAAAGGGGTTCTAGACTCAAATACAACAGTAATGGGGATTTCAATACCACACTTTCAGCAATGGACAGATCAACCAGACAAAAAATCAGCAAGGAAACAGTAGAGTAAATTAACACTATAAACCAAATGGTCCAATCTAAATATAGTCTCCACCAAGAGATATTGGAACTTGTAGAAGAGTTTCATAAAGTAACAGGATATAAAAATCAATACACAAAAATCAATAGCCTTTGTATATACAGACAACGTCATGGCTGAGATTGAGTTTTTAAGATCAATCCCATTCATAATAGCCACACATATAAAAAAAATTAAAAAAACCTTGGAATAAATTTAACCAGGGATGTCAAAGTTCTCTATGATGAGAATTATAAAGATTCAAGAAAGAAATAGAAGAAGATACAAAAAATGGAAAATCCTCCATGATTATGGATTGGAAGAATCAATACCAACAAAATGTCCATTCTTCCAAAAGCAATTTACAGATTCAACATGACACCAATAAACATATCAAAGACATTCTTCTCAGATCTAGAAAAAAGGATGCTGAAATTCATATAGAAATATAGGAGACCTTGAATTGCTAAAGCAATTTTATGCAACAAAAACAAAGCCAGAGGCATCACAATAGTAGATATCAAGAAACACTACAGTTATAATCAAAACAGTCTGATACTGGTACAAAAACAGATGGATAGACAAATGAAATAGACTAAAAATGCCAGAAATTAATCCAAGAATCTACAACCAGCTTATATTTGATCAAGGAGCTAAAACCAGCCCCTGGAGCAAGGACAGTCTCTTCAATAAATGGTGCTGGGAAAACTGGATTTCCACAAACAGAAGTATGAATCAAGAACCCTACCTTTATACCTTACACGAAAATACATTCCAAATGAATTAAAGAGCTAAATCTATGACCTAATACCATCAAATTATTAGAGAAAATTGGAGAATCCCTGCAAGATATTGGTCAGGCAAAGAACTCTTGGAAAAGACCCCAGAGATACAGTCAAATCCAAAAT